CAACATGTTTTATAAAATTGTGTTATATATAAAATAACTCCTATAGTCATGGTGATATAAAACTTCTTGTGTATGACTGCTTTGAAGTAGTAAATTAGAATTAGTTTTAATAATGTGACACTGTATTTTATTCTTTATCTGGCGATAATTACCATCATGCGGTTATCGATATTTTGTAATAATGATTTTATAATCTTTGAAATCCCTGTATGCTCTTGGTTATTATTCAGATCAAGCTGTTGGAATTTACTCTGTTTTCTTCCATAGCTCTTTGTGTTCTTGGTAAACTTTTGAATATCAGCAGTTTCTTCTTAAGAACTACTTAATTCAAATAATTAACTATTCAAATAAATATCAATAAATATTTAACATACAAAGAAAGGGAAAGGAACATGAACTACATGTATATACGAGGGTTGTCCCGTAAAATCGTGGACAAGTTGTCTAGTTTGAAAAATAATCACTGCGTTCTGAAATTTTCACCACTTTTTAGTAGATAAATTATGAATATACATAGCAAATTTCAAATAGATATATGCATAGGTAAACAAATTGTGATATTTTATGTTATGTACTGTATCGCTCTACGGCGCACGGATGATAACGTCAAAGTGTCTAAAACAGCGTCACGTTACATCTTTGCTAAACTTCAAGTTGGATAAGCCCCACTTGAATTTAGAAATTTTATTGATTTACATATGTGAGCATCTATAACCAGTTAAGAAACTAATGTGGCACACTCATGCGATCTTCTGAATATTTATTAGCAAGTTACAGACAGTATTCTCACCATCATTCAACTAAAAGAGAATCTCACATCGACGGTCGACAGTGACAGCTTCCTTTGCTATTACAAATGGCAGTCTGTCCATATGTTTTGTACTATCTGGGGACTCGACCACGAAGACTTCACTAAGAAAACTTTCATTTCATTCATATACTAAAGATCTGGTGATATTTTTCATATTTTCTTTCTTCTGTATTCATTTAAAGTCTCTTAAGGCGTCATTACCACATCCTAATCTATCTGAACTGCTCTCCGGTGCGCCGTAACGTCATAAAAAGTCGCCATTTTTCGTGTATTGTGTTTATTACTTTCCCATTTCAAATGCTCGGGAAACTGCTAAAAATCAACCAAATGCCTTGAAATTTTTAAAAAGACGACAGAATTGATTAAGGAATGGAATTAGGATAATTTTCATCCTGATCTCATGTATTGAAAAGTTTAATTACGAATTAATTCTTATGTCTTGTCTAATATAACCTTGCTATTTTTACCATGCGCCGTAGGACCGTACCTTGTGCACATTCAAGCAGAATAAAATCTTTATTTTTGAATATATATTATCAAAAACATTATGATTCACTTAAATATGATGAATAAACATTTACTGAAAATTTCAGTTTAGTGCGCCCATTACTTTTCGAGAAAAACGCTTTGTCCACATTTTTATGGGACAACCCTCGTATTTCATGGTCTCTAACTTTATGGGGTAATAGGAGGGGAACAATTTGTGAGCCCTCAGGGCCCAGGCTGGGAATAAGCTAGGTCATATGTTGTAAGTAACATACCGGGTAATACCTTTCAAAAGTAACAGCTAGCCAGTTCACATGATTACTATGTAGACTTATCCCGTGACCAAAATTGTAAACTGGTTCAGACTTAAGTCTTGGCTGATTTGGTTAAGTATTGAAGGTATTTTATAATGGATTAATTTAAGGATAATCCAATTTTTGCTTTCTTATGTAAATTTTTTTTTAATGCTTCATGAGAACAGTTCTAGTTCAAGCAGAAGCTAAAGTAGTTATACCCTGAGAATCTCATAAGAGCAGAGTCAGGGTTTTGTTGATCCTAGCTAGATAGGGTAGTCAGGGAAAGATATCTGTCAATATTCCAAACTTATTAGTACTAAGAAAAGAATGTTAGTCCCTTAGAATTCAAAATCTTGTCAGTGGCAAAGCTCAAATTTCTTCTGAAAGCTTTGTCCATTTTTAGCTCTTCTGAGCCAAAGGCTCAAAGAGAAGGATATGGAGATAACGAACAGTATTCAATCTCAACGTCCATTAAACAATATACAAAATAAGAGCAGAGCAAACACGGACCTCTGAAACATTAGAGGTGGGATCAGGTGCCATGCTATGGCCATTTGTGCGGTGTGCGTTGTGTGTAAACTTTTTAGAATATGGGCCATAACTCAAGAACCCCTTGGCCAAATAGTACCAAATTTGTCACAGGGTATCCTTGGCCCAAGGGCTACCATTTATACTAAAATAAGAGTTGGGACCCTTAAACAAGGGAGATAATCAGGAAAACAAAACCAAAAGTACTGGTTGCTAAATAATCTTCTCCATAACCACCAGGCAGATTTTCACCAAACTTACATACAAGGTTCAGGATATGTCGAAGATTAAAATTTGCACGGGGAATTACCCTGGGGCAAAGGGTGTGGTCTCAAGGTCACTTCAAAGTTGACCTAAATTTACAATTAATAAAAATGTGTATATTTTGCTTACTATAAGGACTAGGATCATCAAATCTTGTAAGTTGATGCATCTTACGACTTCACATCATGTTAACTCAAAAGTAGGTCACGGTGACCTACTTTTTAAATTTTGCGGGGATTTGTTTTCAAATTGATTTGAAGGCATATTTTGGACACTTTAAGGCCTATGATCATCAAACTTTGTCAGTTGATGCATCTTGGGTCCTCAAACAATGTCAAGTTAAAATTAGGTCATCGTGACCTACTTTTTGAACTTTATGACTTATCTTTTTATAAACATTAAATCCCATTATTTCAGACACTGGGAGGTTTACAATCATCAAATCTTGTACTTTGATGCATCTTGGGACCTTAAAACATATTTATGAAAAAGTAGGTCACTGTGACCTACTTTTTGAATTTTGCCAACATTTGTTTTCAAATTGTTTAAAACGCATATTTTGATTACCTTGAGACCTACGATCATCAAACTTGGTCAGTAGATGCACCTTGGGTCTTTGAAAAATGTCAACCAAAATGTAGGTCACGATGACCTATTTTCGACATTTTATGACTATATTTAAGTATCTTAGGTATTTATTGGCTTAGAATCATCAAACTTTGTGAGTCGATGCATATTTGGTTTTCGGAGAGTGATGACCAAAAAGTAGGTCACGGTGACCTACTTTTGACATTTTATGGCTTTATTTAAGTATCACCGGTACTTGTAGGTTTAGAATCATCAAAACTTTGTGAGTTGATGCATCTTGGGTTTTCGGAGAGTGACGACCAAAAAGTAGGTCATGTTGACCTACTTTTGACATTTTGTGGCTATAATTAAGTATCTCTGGTACTTATTGACCTAAAATCATCAGACTTTGTTAGTTGATGTATCATAGGTTTTCGGAGATTGTCGACCAAAAAGTAGGTCACAGTGACCTACTTTTGACATTTTTTGGCTATATTTAAGCATCCCAGGCACTTATTGGCTAAGAATCATCAAACTTTGTCAGTTGAGGCATCTTGGGTTTTCGGAGAATGTCGAATAAAAAGTAGGTCACTGTGACCTACTTTTGAATATCTCAGGTACATATTAGCTTAGAATCATCAAACTTTGTCAGTTTAGGCACCTTGAGTTTTCGGAGAATGTCGACCAAAAAATAGGTCACCGTGACCTACTTTTGACATTTGATGGCTATATTTAATTATCTCTGGTACTAAAATTGGCTTAGAATTGTCAAACTTTGTCAGTTGATGCATCTTGGGTTTTCAGAGAATGTTGACCAAAAAGTAGGTCATGGTGACCTACTTTTGAATATCTCAGGTGCTTATTTAATTAGAATCATCAGTCTTTGTCAATTAATGTATCTTGAGTCCTCAGAAAAATTCAATCAAAAGGTAGATCACTGTGACCTACTTATGGTATTTTATAATTATATTATGATATCTTCAGTCTTAACTGGCTAAATATTATCAAAGTTTGTAAGTTGATGCATTTTGGGTCTTATGATACTAATAGAGTTGGAGACTTCTAATAGAAGTGATGGATTGTACAATTTATCAAAAGAGCGATTCAAGGCCCTTGGGCCTCTTGTCTAGTAAGAAAATAAGCTTTGACTGTTCTATATAAACATTCATGTGTTTCAGGGATTTGTCAGAGTAATCTGTCAGGCCAAATGTAAAATAGAGTTCCATTATAACTGTTGGAGAGTCTTCAAATCCAAACAGGGAGAGAAAATTGGGGATAAGGTAAGAAATTGTGGCATGTTTTAGGTACTGTACCACCGAAATGTGGGAAAGTTGGGCATTTTACCATTAATTTATCAGTTTCCGGTGTAATTTCCGTGTGAGACATGGACAATCCCATTAGTCAAGCTGTGTATAAGATTGGGACCATGTTAATGAATTAATTTATAATAACAGGTGTATTGAATTGTATTTGTTTTAAGGATATGTTGGAAAAACCATGTCCCACCCCTAACTGCGGTACAGTCATTGTAAAAATATCGATCTTCAGACCAGACACTAATGAGAAAATTGTAAGTATTACAGAAGGTATGAATTAGCATTAATTACTTCATTCCATCAGTAAATGTTAAGTTTGAAATACTGTGAATCACAGAGATAAATGACTCATCCAAAAGTTTACTTTTTCCAGTTTGAATCAGAGAAAACAGAAACAAATAAGAAGCAGGATAAAAAGAAGAAAACAGTATTGAAGATGCCTCCATCGAATCAAGATAAAATTCAGAAAAAGATGGAGAAAAAAGAACAGAAAATGAAAAAGAAGATGGAGAATAAAGAGGAGAAATTGGACCTCGTGGAGGACATTGATCAGATGATTCAGGAGGATAAAGCCGAGAGTCAGAGGTCCGGGATGGCAGCAGGTGGGACTCGTTTTGGTAGATACTTGAACATAAATTGGCATTTTAAAAGTATGGCTCAATCACTGGGTATTGAGTAGTCATCAAAATTAGCGCTACACACTTCTGTGCTGTAAATTGTATTTATAAATTATTTTTTAGCAGTATTCATAAAATAGTGCACCATTCTCTGTGCTAAAGCCACAAAAATTTGAAGCCCGCTTTTTTAAGTACACATACAGTATTCTGTTCTGCTGAACTTATATTCAGTTTTATGAAAGGTGTTTGCTTTCTTAAGGTAGAACTTGTTATTGCCTTACATTCATCATTAGTTTGAATTCTCTTTAAATGGTAAAACCTTTACATATACTTGTACATGTTGTACTGGTGTATTTATTGTTACAAGCAGTATTGTTTTCAAAACTCCAACATACTGTAAGTTGTTAGAGTGATGTTTATATTTCATCATTTATGAATTCCTGTAATGTGTACATGTATTATTAAAGTGTTAATGAATAGCAAGCACACTGACCTATACAGAGTTTGGTGACATTCTCCTCTTTGTGTTGATTGTTTGTGATATTTTAGGAGGAGATGGGGAGAAAGGGGAAGTCATTCTCCCAGATCACACAAAGCCAGTCTCTGTTCTTCGCAAAGATGATGAGGATGTAAAACTCAACAAGTATAAGGTAAGATCTGTGGCCTAAAATTATACAACTTCCTGTGAGTGGCAAAATTACATAATTTTTTTTATAAAAGATTTAATTGAGGTACAAAGATTTGGAATTCGATGTATTACCAGTGAAACAATTAATATGTTTCCCCCTGTGACAACAAATTTACAAGCATTAGCTTGATTGATACTTTTTAAATTCTAAGCTGGTGCAGTGCAATGGAATTTTAAAAAGAAATGTTTATTGTAGGGAACTAAGAAACAGAAGAACAAGAAAAAGAAAGAGAAAGCTGCCAAACAGACAATCCCTTTGGAAGTGAACTTTACAGATGAAAAGGAGAAGACTTTGCTGAATGAACACTCCATTCCAGACTCTCCAACTAAGTAAAAATAATAAAAACTATACAAGTATTTGCTCTCCCCACCACCAAAATAAATAAATTAATTTTAAAAAGCTGCATAACAGATTGTTGGAATATTTAAGTTAAGGATCAAGTGCTAGTATATACTAGATCAGGACCATTACTACATGTACTAATTTGACTTGTTTTAGTACTTTGATACCACTAATTTTTGTGGGGGGTTAATTTTCTTTGCTTTCTGGATACAATAAATTCATGTCCTTAAGAAATATTTAATTTCATATTTTAAAATTTTTGACTCCTCAACCACCAAACCTTCCAACAAATCAATACTTTTTTCTTTCAAAACCATGAAAATTTTACCCTATGAAAAAGAGTTATTTTACAGTTTGACACACTTTGGTTGCAGAGGTAAAAGTTATAATTGTTCATAACTGCCTTAATTATATGAAATGGATGAATTTCGGCTTTAATGTTGTTGTATTTTATTTGTTTTTTTATTCTTTTTAGAGACTTTTCTGTACCAACAAATATTCATGAAAAGGTTCAAGCTTTTGAAAACTCGTATGAATCCAAAATGGGGAAGACCTTGTATGATGAAATAACAGAAAATCTTTTCTCGTAAGTACATAAATATATAGGCTTTGATTACTCTTTATATTAAAATACTTGAAGTTTCTTCACATGTGTAGTAATCACCTCAGATCACTTCGTAGCTCAGGTGGTATAACCCATATAAAAAGAATTTCAGGAATAGAGTATACTTTTAAATATTTAATACAGAAATTTTATTTTTGTTCAAATATTTAAAAATTTCTTCAGATGTATCTTTCAGATACATGTAATACTAGAGATATATGTGTAGCTACATAATTCTACACAAGTCATTACATGATTTTCTTTTTTAGATTTTTTGAGGATCTTCTTAAGGCACATGGACCACTTCATATTGAGGATGGTAAACTTACCTCCATGATTGAAGATTTCCCAAAGGATGCTAAGGAAAAAATTGAGCAAGTGGGAGGACTAAGCAATTTCCTTAAACAGTCACTGAAATTTGCAATGATAGATGACATTGTGTGTTTGTTAAAGGATTCTGTGAAAGCTCGGGAAATATCACTTGCTCGTGGCCAAGCCAGGCAGACGTTAATATCAACTAACTCAAATAATGCGTGGAAAACTGTGGGAAAACATTCAAACTCTGCTAGTGATAAATTTTCTTCTTCCTCTTCTTTCAATTCATCTGCAAGTTGTGTGACAAGTGAAGAAAAAATCAAACCATTTCACAGTCCTTATCCTGTTATAGCATCTGGAGTGGATTCATTAGACGACTTTGGTAGCGTAATAAAAAAAGGATCCATCGCAAGTTTGGACGATGATTTTGACTTGGGGCCAATAAGATCAGGCTCCAAAATGGACAGTATTGATGACATTCATTTAATATCACCAACAAAAAAGAAAAAAGGTAAAAATAAGATCAGTCTGAAGGAACTGGATGCTATAGATTCTCTGTCTTCATGCTCTGATAGTGACAGTGATTCAGCAAGTGATGATGGGACAGAGAGCCTTAATTCTGATTTTTCTAGCACGAGATCAGGCAAAGCATCCTCCAGTGTCAAGCTTCAGAGTGAGAACGGAAGACTAGGTGACTTAAAACAAAACCTGGATGTATCCAGTCGGAGTAGTTCCAAGTCGGATCTGAGTGAAAAATCAGGAAGTGATTTGTCATATGATCTTATGGCAAAGGCCTATAGAAATTCTCCCGTTGCATCCACATTCGTGAAGGACAAATCTTTATTCTTGTCTAGTTCACCTACAGTGTCTGAGAATGGACGTGCTGCAGATAAAACTTGGCAAGGACTTGCTGTGCCACAGCCCCTGAAAATCCCTTCTCAGTTCTCTCAGAGACCCCCTGTTATGTCGCTTCAGTCAGAGGCAAGTATTGCTGCAGAAAAGGAGATTAATAGAATAGACACTGAAATGGTGAAGGAGATTGCAGATGACGTGGTTGAAAGACTCTTTTCTGGGAAGAACGTTTCTCCAGCTGAACGTCAGGAGACATATAACCGTGTCACACAAGACATATGGAAAGACTTCAAGAAAAAACAAACTTCAGCTTCCTCAGTTTGGCCATTAGACAACAAGTCTCTGTACTCACAAATGTCTATGACTGCTTTGGATAATAGACAGAAGAAAACTTATGCTGAACATTTCATGAAAAGTCATTACCAAAAAAATTTGACTGACCCTTTGCAACAAACACCAGCCGGTCCTCCATCCTCTTCCAGTTTCCCATATCCTAGCAAACCTCCTATCTCCACAGTGGACAACAGTTTTCCAGCTTTACACACAATGGACAGAATTCCCCCTCCCCTCTCTTTACCTGTATCTTTGTCATCGGCCAACAGTTACAATTCCAATGCACCACTCTCTACAGTGAACCCTGGTATCTGGTCCAGTTCATTAGAGACTAGTGTCAGTCAGGGAATTCCCAGTATTCCAAATATTTCAAAATTTTCTACACCCCCACCCCCTTTAAATCTTCCATCTTTTGCATCTGGACCGTTTAGTAGTATATCTATAGGGACATCAGTAACTGAAACGTCTGTTTCGTCTACTTTGTCCTCTGTATTTGGGAGTCATGCTGATAAAAACAGTCAAACCTCTGTGGAAACCCAAGACTGTGAGATGAACACTGATCCATACGAGCCATACAGGATAGAATATTTACGTAGTCAAGAAGATTGTGAACAAATGAAGAACAGTGTGGCCAGACTGCAATCTCAAGTCCAGGAACGAGATGCTATGTTCAGGGAATGGACCATCAAAGCTCAGGTAATATAGTAATGTTATTAATGCATTTTGAGTTAACTATGTTTTTATAAATGTTTTAACCAAAAAATATTCCCAGAATTGTACATTTTTTCCTCAATGTTTAGAAATTTAGGGGCTTAAAATCGTAAAACTCTTTCCATGTTGACATTGGAAACATCTTCAATCAACATGGTAAATGAGCAGGACACAGTGATATGAAATTTGATAGTTGTATCTCAAGATTTAGGATACTAAGATGCTTAGAATCATCAATTTTGTTAGTTGACGCAAATTGAGTCTCTCAAAATGTAGGTCATCTTGACCTAGTGACTCATGGAATATGGGAATATCTAAATATTTCAGAATTCCTATAGTAAAGAGGCTTAGAATCATAAAATTTTATGAGTTAAAACATCTTTGGTAGTAGGTCCTGGTGACCTACTTTTTAAAAGGAAAAATTGGAAGTGAATTGACTATATACTGGTAAGTATCGGAAGAGTGATTCTAGGCCCTTGAGCCTCTTGTATAAAACATGCTTTTCTGACTTGATAATGGTACTGTAAATACACTTCTGGTCAAATATGATTTATTTGTAATTTATGTCTAACTCTTGAGCTTACTTTCTTCAGTCCTTAGAAACAGACTTCAAAGGAAGATCACTTCAGCTGGAGATGGAGAAAAGAGAATTAGATGAAAAAGTTCGGATTTATGAACAAGAAATTTCCCACCTGAATACAGAGCTTACCAAACAAACCTCAGTTATTCTAGAGTAAGCCATAGATGAACTAGATTTTAAGCAATTTTTGTAAATTCATATATAAATACAGTGTTAAATAATGTAAGTGATGTTTAACTCATTCGATAAAAAGAATCTCCAATGATTTGTGGATAGATTTGACTTTTATCGCACTCATGTTTCTATTCTCTTGCCAAGAATTAGGGATAAAAAAAAAAGAACTTGGATAACACAAATCATGGGAGATCCTATATACACGTATATTAATTAGTATACTTGTGAGAAATGTTTACATACCAAGATGTTGATTTTAGTTTACGGGAGAAGAAAAATCAAACAGACCAGAGATATCTTGATCTTCAAAAACAACAACATGATGAAAGGTAGGTACAAGTGATGTGTCCAAATCAAAACCGTTTTTAGGACACTGACTTCCAATTGAAAATTTAGTAACCTCCTAAAATGTATCTAATCTTTTGAATTTCTGAAAAAATATTATTTTGGTTTTGGTTGAAAGCGTATTCCGTTCCTGTGTACAAGTTTTGGTTGTAAGCACCCAAATATTTTGCTATTGATCGGTACATGTATTTAATTTTAATTATACCCCATGCAAAAAGTTGCGTGAGGATATAATGTTTTTGACCCGTCCGTCAGTGTGTCAGTCAGTCCTTTTTTTGTCAGAGCAACTCTTCATAAACCGCTGCACACAATTTCGTCAAACTTTGCAGATATTTAGGACACAATGTGTAGATGTGCATATTACCAGGAAATTCAGATTCCTTAATTTTTTACGGGAGGGAAATTTGGCATTTTTCAACTTAGATTTTTGGCGATATCTTGAATATAGAATTGAATAGTTTGTCAGCGCAATTCCTCATAAACCGCTGCACACAATTTCGTCAATCTTTGCAGATATTCAGGACGCATTGTGTAGATGTGCATATTACCAGGAAATTCCGATTCCTTTATTTTTTCCTGGAATTTCAGCACTTCGACTTTTGGGGGAGTGTGGGGTATGTGAGCTTGCTCACCTTTTCTTTTATTTTTTAATCCAGATATCGAACATCACAATTAGATCTAGAGAAGATAGAAGCTGTAAGACATAGAGAGGAACTTCGAAAACTCAGAGAAGAAGAAAGTGAGCGGGCAATCAGAGCAGAGGTAAATCTTATACTGTTGAATCGTCAAAATTTGCAGGGGCCAGTTTTTTGGACTGCTTAAAATTTTACGTTGGGATATATTTAAGTTCATGTGGACGTAATTTCAAAAAGGAAATATGATTTTGTAACCCTAGCACAATGATTTGTGGAGGATGTAAATTTGTTGATGAAGGGAACCTATGAAATCAAAAAAGATTTGAGCAACCACAAATCTATTGATTCCACTGTATCAGCATTTTGTATAATTGTTTCTTATATCCAGGAGAGTCAAACACTGATGCAGTTTACATTGTTAATGGTATCTTGTTTTGTAGGTTGAATTGCTGCAAGTCAAGAAAAACTTTACATTACAAATGCTGGAGAGATCCAAGATGGAGTACATGGTGTATAAAAATAAAGTCTCTGTGATTGTCAAAAGGCAAGCAATACATTTTGTATAACATTTACAATTACTCACAACTTAGGCCTCTTGAATAGGAACTTGTGTAAACTTTTATGATTGTTTTTTTCTTTGTTTACTAGGAACTTGTGTAAACTTTTATGATTGTTTTTTCTTTGTTTATCAGGAACTTGTGTAAACTTTTATGATTGTTTTGCAGGAGGGAGGACGAAGGTAAAACACTACCTTTGGGCCTTAAGCAGCACCTTGATCAGTACGAAGGGATTATACAGAAATGTGACGAAACCATCAGCAGGCTTAAGGTAATGCCACAATGTGACTCCCAGGGACTATTACTTCTCAAACCACAAAGATCTGAACTACCCATTTAAGTGATTTTACAGTATCTGATGCACATTGTTAGTTGATTCATCCATTGATTCTGATCATCATCTCTTATTTCAGATTGACTTTGATGCCCATATACATCAGATCCAGGGAGGGAAGAGGATGAGTGAACTGCCCCAGATCTTCATCCCCCCTCCTCCCCCGCAACCACAGATGCCTAATTTGGACTTGGTAATTCTTACTTCAAAACATAAATGAAATTGAGGGAACAGTTTAATTCTATGGACAACTCTTAATTGTTCACTGTGACAACTTAAATAATTACATATATAATAAACAGATCTTATTGAACCATTGTATTATTTTACAGCTAACAGGACAGACTATGACCAGCACAGCTAGTGCACCTTCATTACTAGCCCTGGCCACTGGTTCCCTTTCTGGTGGTGCCATGTCCAAATCTTCACCTTCCCCACCACTGAGTTCCTCTCAGTCCTCTGCCTCCAACATTCTACCTCCATCTATCCCCAGTGTACAAGCTGTTCCTCAGCCCAAGCCTCTTGGGTTACCCACAGGTAAACATAATATACCACTCGGAGTTTGTAAACCTTTTGAATAGACAGAGTATGTAGAGTCTAGGCTGCCTAATGTGACCTCTGCAAGATTTCAGTTTGAAAAAGTGTCATATGACAGAGTCTCTCGATTAAACTTCCTATAAATATCTAGGAATTGTATGATTGCTAAAATAGTCATCATTCTACTAGCCTCTAATGCTCACAAGATTAAATGAATCCCCTATGCTGCAAGAAATTTATCACAGGATTGTCTAAAATTTTCTTCAAGATTTTTAAATAAATTAGGAATGCACAATTTCTAAATTTCTAATCAGATATCTCATGTTAGTGTATCAAGTCAGTCACTTTATATAGAAAATAAAAGTTTATAGGTTGGATTAAATAGGGTTACATATGGCAGAGTCTCAAAATAAGTTTTCTTGGAAAGAGCAGATTAAGCGGAGAATAAATCTCAGTTTTGTTGTTAGATGTTTTCTTTATGAATAGTTTGAAAATCATTTTTTATAACAATAGTAATGCACTAGTGACTTTTTACTGTAGGTGTGGCCGGCTTGTCTCAGCGCCCCCTTGTTACCCCACCTATCAGCTCCATGTTACCTCAGATGTCTCAGGGAGCAGGGCCCCAAATTCAGCACAAGACAAGTAACTTTGACAAACTGATCATCAAGCTGCAGGTGGCTTTCCCTAAATACAACAGGTATGTCTTATTACAGCAGGGTTCTGGATTGATGGTTCAAACTGGTGTTTTTGATTTGTCATAATAAATATAACAAAATAATGCTTTGTTTGAAACATTGTCTTATCTTAATTACATGTAGTTAGGTATATTTTGAAATATACCAGTTTTATACTTTATCATTTTTAGCTCACCTGAGCCGAAGGCTCAAGTGAGCTTTTCTGATCACATTTTGTCCGTCGTCCGTCTGTCCGTCCGTCCGTCCGTCTGTAAACTTTTCACATTTTCGACTTCTTCTCAAGAAACACTAGGCCAATTTCGACCAAACTTGGTACAAAGCATCCTTGGGTGAAGGGGAATTTAAATTGTTAAAATGAAGGGACATATCCCCTCGCAAGGGGAGATAATCAAGAAAAGACAAAAATAGGGTGGGGTCATTAAAAAATCTTCTTCTCAAGAACCACTGGGCCAGTAAAGCTGAAACTTATGTGGAAGCATCCTGGGGTAGTGTATATTCTAAATTGTTCAAATCATGACCCCCGGGGGAAGGGCGGGGCCGCAATGGGGAATCAAAGTTTTACATAGAAATATAAAGGAAAAATCTTTGAAAATCTTCTTCTCAAGAACCACTGGGCCAGAAAAGCTGAAAATTATGTGGGAGCATCCTTGGGTAGTGTAGATTCTAAATTGTTCAAATCATGACCCCCAGGGATAGGGCGGGGCCACGATGGGGAATCAAATTTTTACATAGAAATATATAGGAAAAATCTTTGAAAATCTTCTCCTCAAGAACCACTGGGCCAGAAAAAGTGAAACTTATGTGAAAGCATCCTTGGGTAGTGTAGATTCTAAATTCTTCAAATCATGACCCCCGGGGGTTGGGCGGGGCCACAATGTGGAATCAATGTTTTACATAGAAATATAAAGGAAAAATCTTTGAAAATCTTCTTCTCAAGAACCACTGGGTCAAAAAAACTGAAACTTATGTGGAAGCATTCTAGGGTAGTGTAGATTCTAAACTGTTCAAATCATGACCCCCGGGGGTTGGGCGGGGCCACAATGTGGGTTCAATGTTTTACATAGAAATATATAGAAAAAATCTGAAAATCAAAGCTGAATCTTATATGGAAGCATCCTGGGGTAGTGAAGATTTCAAATTGTTTAAATTATGATCAGTGGGGTAGGGTGGGGTCACAATATGTATTACAAGGGGGAAATCTGGTAAAGAACAGAATGGCCAAAGCTTCACAGGTGAGCGATGTGGCCCATGGGCCTCTTGTTTTATCATCTGTAAAGTGGCAATTTCAAAAGATCACAATTATGACTAATTATTTTTCGATAAATTGAATGTAACATGAATATTGTATTAAAACTTATTTATACAAGCATATAAATATTCCTGTAGATATCTCATGATTGTTTACTGTAGTTTATGCCTATTTTATACTGTGATTCACTTCGTAGAGCTATATAACAAGTGTGAATCTTTTTGCAGAGCGTATTTCACAAATGTGACTCTCTTTGTAGAGCTATTTTCACCCAGTTGATTCAGGAGCTGAGGACAAACAGAGGAGGGTCCTTGTCTGGTATGACTCTGGATGAGATTGTGTCCCAGATAACGGACCTGATACATCACCACGAGAGACAGCAGGGCAGGAAGCCTTCTGTAGTGGCCACACAACAGGTCAGTCTTATAGCTGTGTTAATAAATTCTGTCTTTGTTACAATGATTGTAAATACAAATAAAACTTTATTTAGCATTAGCTGTACAGAATATGTTGCTATATATAAATAGGTTAAAAAAATTTTTAAATGGTTTTATTGCTTACATTTTCGACTCATGTGTTTATCGGTACTCTTTTGGGTAGAACCTTTCCTTATAATTTTACAATATACATGTATGTCAAAATTCCAAAGTCTCTTTAGATCATGCATGTTTAAAACATTTTTCTACAGGATACAATAACTCCTGGATTTCCTGATGACCGTAATAGATCCCTGGTACCCCCTGGCCTCTCTCCCTCCTGGGGCCTCCCTGGGACTGACCTGTCCAGTCTGGGGGTCACCAGTGAGGTGTTTGAGGAGGAGGAGGACCCCTGTGTGATCTGTCATGAGGAGATGACCGTCGACACTACTGTCATGCTGGAGTGTAAACACAGATTCCATGATGAGGTACGAGGGGTTCAGAAAGTACTAACAAAAAACAGTAAACACAGATTTTTCATGATGAGGTACAAGGGTTCAGAAAGTACAATAAAAGTCGCAAACACAAATCTCATGATGAGGTACAAGGGGTTCTAAAAGTATGAACAAAAAACATTAAACAGGGATTTAATCACTGTCATTCACTGAGGTACAAGGGGTTTAGAAGTACTAGCAAAAACAGTTCAGTGTAGCATGTATCAGTCCAAATGGACAGAAATGGTATTGAAAAAAATAAGCAATTTATGATACACAGTATAAATTCTCTAAGCTTTCAAGAAATTTCAAAATTTTGATAAACATAGTGGTCAGTCTACAGTTATGAAAAAAAATTGAAATAATGGAAATCTTAATAGACATCACAACTAGGGATGTCAACGAATATTCGAATATTCGAATATTCATTCAATGATTTGATATTCGAATATAGATTTATGATTCGAATATTCGTTTTAAAGTGAACAAGCATTAAAATGAGAGAAAAACTTAGAAAGAAAGTAGAAATTGAATCAAGTTTGTACAAAATTGAAAGACACTGACCTCTTGGATTATCTTAAAGGTGTGAAGAGTGTATCTATAAGAGTAATTTATTCATTTTTTCACTTAATTAGTGGTATAAGGGTGTCCAGTACTTACAATCAGCTTGTATTGTTGTAAGGACACAGTTTTACATGGATCCCTTGTTTATATAAATATAATTGAAATCATTATCATGAAATTAATAAGCCAAAATTAATTGCTTTTAATATTTTTCTGCTAGATAATTGTTCTGCTTGGTATATTTATAGGAGTTATCAGTGTATACTTTTGTAAGACGATCAATTAATCTGAAATATACTGGAGAACCTTTTGAATTTTCAAAGAAAAAATTACATTTTGGATGTATACTCTTCATATAATTGATAACTAGAAAAAAAATAATTGAGGTGCATTTACCAAACTCTACATGAGTTCTTATTCTAAAATAATGGCATAAAACCTATACTGCTTGACAGGAGATTGAATACATATATTTTATAATGAAAATGTATTTATTTTATCGAATATTCGAATATATTCGAATACTTCCATCGAATATTCGAATATCAATTACTGACAATTTTGACATCCCTAATCACAACAGAACTCCTACTTTGTCAATAACAAGAAATTAAACAAAGAACATGTATGTATATATATTTTTTTCTTTTACAGTGTATCAGGAAATGGTTGAGAGAACAGAGCACCTGTCCAAACTGCCGAATCTATGCCCTTCTACCAGACGAGTTCCCAAGTCTGAGATAGGCAATAGAGATGGCAAAAAATTAATTTTTGAAAAACTTTTTTTGTGGTGTTAGTATTAGAACTTGATGAGTTCTATTATATGATGATATTAATCAGTGTTTGTTAGTTTTATATTGTTTTTCTTGATTGGATTTGGTAAATTTGACTTAAATTGTGAGCAAAGACTCTTTACTTAGATGTAAATGAAGATAACGAGGAATAAGACAGAGAACAATAATAAAAGGACAAGTATTTTTATTTGAACTTAACTTTAATATTATTTCTGTTTGATGTGATTATTAAGTTTTATGAAGAAAGTTCAGCTTGTACCATTACTTTTGTTGTCTCTGAACAAAAAAAAAATAAACAAAGAAATTGATATTTTTAGTTTAGTTTACTCTTATTTATGTAGGCCACTGAGCAGACTACTTGCTGTCTGATCTTGTTTTTCATCATTGGATCCCTTATCTAAGCTCCTCATACTGAATGTAATTTGCAAAAAAGACATTTACAAAATTCTAATTACATAGTGGAAAAGTATCTCCTATTTTACTTTGATCAGACCCATGTATTAGGTTTCGCATAGCAAAACTTTGCCATTACCATTCTTTCTATGATATTTTGTGTTCAACAATTTAAAGCCTTAATCTTGAACCCCCACCCAATCCTTACAAAAATTTAAAAACAAAAAAGATGTGTTTGTAGACACTGATACTGCCATATAACAGCTTTTGTTAGTATCTCAAATGCATGAAAAATGTTGCTTCCAATGAAACGATTTGCTCTCAACAAAGATACCTGTAAGATATGACAACCAAGCAGTGTTATGGCCAAAGTTTATTTTTTTAAATGTGGGTGAAACATCAAGGTCGTATGATTAAATTAAAGGAATCCAACAGAGGGCCTTGTTATAAGACTTAAAATATCCCTTATCACATGATATGAAGCTCGCCCTGACAAATGTTATCAGTATGATTGATGCCAAATTGCCAATCTCATTTTTCGGCTCCCATTATCCAAGATTCTGGGGTTAACGTTGTTGCCCTGTCTGTATGTCCACAAAAACTTTAAGCTGGCCCATAACTTCTGACTGGGTGCTGGCTTTTATATTTCACAGGTGTATTCTTTGTAAAAGACCCCTCTTTGGGTACCACCAAATTTGACCTTGACCTTGGAGTTTGACACACTTTACAAAAATACCAAAATCTCCAGGGTCAAAGTTGTTGGTATGCAATGAAAGGTCTTGTCACAAGGATTACATATGTGAAAAATGAAAGCCCTAACCATTCAAAAGTCATGTTCAAGGTTAAAGTATTTTAAAAGTAGGTCAAATGCCAAAGTCAGGGTTACAGGGTCAAAGTTGTTGGTATCCAATGAAAGGTCTTGTCACAAGGATTACATATGTGAAGTATTAAAGTCCTAGTCTTTACCGTTCAATGTTAAAGTTTTTTTAAAGAAGGTCAATCTCCAAGGTCAAACTTGTTGTATCCAGTGAAAGATCTTGTCACAAACAATATACAAAGTGTAAAAGTTCTAGCACCAACTGTTCAAATGTTATGGCCTAAGTAAAAGTTTGGTATTTTTGTATAAAAGTGTGTCAAACGCTAAGGTCAATGGATAAAAGGTCAAATTTAGTGGTACCCAAAGAAAGGTCTTGTCACAAGGAATACACCTGTGAAATATGAAAGCCGTAGCCGCACCCAGTCAAAGGTTATATACCAGGCCAACAAAATATATACTTTTTGTAATAATACCCATTAATTATATGATTACATGTACTTGTTTGCTATTATCCGTCTGGTCATTGCAGTATAAAGCAGCTTGTTTGTTTTTTTCTTTATATATTACATTATATCAGTATGTGATGCTTATATTTCATTGTGAACTATACCAGTATTTCAAATCTGAGAACTTTTGCAAGTGAGGATCAAGCCAATTTTGCACCTGATGCAACCATTACCTGTTAATGTTGTTATAATCATGATTACATTGTTTGTTTTTTTTTTAATTGTATATGCCTCCTGAGGGCCTTGATTGGTGAATAAATAAAAAAAATAAACATACTATGTACATATCCCTTATTTGACTGTACTGCAACAAAAATGGGGGGGGGGGGGGGCAATCAGTCTTTGACATAGAAATTTCTATGGCAATAGTTATGTCTGAAAGGGGGGGGGCTGGTCCCTCCTGATACTACATGCCTGCTTTGTACATTTTGAATTCCACACAGTAAATCTGACTTTTTCAGTCTGATATACGTTTTTCTCATGCTTGTTGATTACTATTTAATCAAAGACCATCATGGTCCGTAAGTTTACGTTGAATGCAAGTTTGCATAAAATTTGACCTTCATTTGTCCAGCTTTGCCCTTAGTGCAAGCTATGTTAAAATGTTTAAATTTTAGTATTAAATGCATTTTTTTTAAATATTGCAATCATTAAATTGCCATTTTATATAATTGAGCATATACATGTAGGATTAATAAAACTTATTTTCTGTGTTTGTTTAATTAATTGTTTCTTTTCATTTATTGAAAAGGGGGGTGTTATTGATTATGCAGTGAAAATGCACAATTAAAAAAAAACTTCCTCTTTAGGAGAAATGGATTACTTTTTGAGAATCTTTTTTTGTGCTCTTGGGTTTGACAAAGTGCAAAATTCAGTGAAAGGAACAAGGGTCATGCCCGCCTCCCCCCCCCCTCCCCCCCCCCCCCTTGGGTCAGGAGTTCTGATGTTATTAGATACGATATTATATTTTTATTATTTAATTAATATACATTCATTCTTTGAAAATCTTCATTTCTGTTCCTTAGTACTTATAAATTTAGCAGATAAACTATGTGCATTAGTGGGGGTTATATGAGCAATTTTAAAAGTGCATGTAAACGTGTTTCTCACAGAGTTATGAAACTTAATTATAATAGCTCTGGGATCAGTGGTTCTGGTTGTGGTTCTATTGATTATATGGTGAAAATGCATCAATACTTTGAAAATCTCATCTGCTGTTGAGTGTTAAGAAAAAAGCCAAATGAAAAAAGAAAGTTGTGCTTATATAGAACTTCCAAAATATAGTAGTAAATTTCGTGAGCCCTTGATATTGTCCTTAAAGATCCCTTAATTGTTTGTTATTCAGATCGGGCAATTTCTTGTTATCGTAAATTTTATCAAAATGTGTGTAAGAATAGCATGGTACTACCAGAATTTTTTTTTTTTTAACAAGTTTTCTTATATTATCAATCTTTTGTAAATAAATACTAATACTTTAGACTCATAGGTGTGTATTGGTCAGTAGAGTAGTTAAATAGATCGACCAATTCCTCAATTTGATTTAATCCGGTTTCTTATCGACATTATTTACATTTTTATTATTTATTTGTTATTAATTAGCATGATTAATTCATTTATTTTTCACTTTCTTTCCTTGCCGCGAAAAACTAGCATTCTATAGGGACAATCCCAAGATATTCCGAAGAGCATCACATGACATTTGTTGTCGATTTTGGACTATTCCATATTGAAAAGGAAGGTTATAAAAGGTTATCAAAGTCATGAAAATAAAACATAGGTCTTTAGCTGGTAAAATAAATCATATTAAACGAAGTTAATTTTTTATTTCTCTGCTTATTTAATTTAAAGATATTGATTTAAAGAGATAAAGTAATATATCAGAAAAATCTGCTATCCTGCTCAACACCTCACAAAGTTGGTATACCACATGGGCAGATGGGTTTCATGAAGGACAAAGACTGGTCCAATATGGCCACTGAAAAATAACCAAGGATTGTGAATTTTTGTGATATCTGAGAAAAAATGGCAGAATTATTGTCAGTCCAAGTACATTTACCACCCAATTCTAAACTTTTGATCGAAAAATCTAGCAAGAAGTCTTCCTTGGACAGTGTTAATCGTGTTGGGCGAGATAGACAGTTTGATCATGGAACTTTTGCACAACTTCCAAAAAGAAGAGCTGCGAATGTGGAGTTTAAGGATCTTGTGTACAAGGTCCGCGAGGGAGGAAGGCATAAAGGTGAGTTAGTACAGAGCAGCACCTGTTGAAGTTGTTTATGTGCCATGTCAGTCAGTGACTTAACGCTTTCATCATCTGGCTAAATCAGCTGTTCACCAATCCACGTATTTTTTGCCAGAGCTGGGGTTCTCAAGAGGGAGGATTAATCCCCAAAGTTTACACACTGCTCTGGTACCTTAAACATTCAAAACATATTCTTTTTTAATGTCTTATTATTACACTTTGTTCCTATAAAAGCAATGGTTTATATTTTAATATAAATTAAGTATACTAAAATAATTTCAACTCTCAAATTTCATGATTTTGGTCAATAAATAATTTTTATACGAAAAAGTGATTCAGTCAATTTACTATCAGTGTATCAATAACTGTTTTTATCATATGCAGACTTAGTATTGAAAAACATTTCGTAATCACCTCCCGTGCAAATTCTGCTGTCAGTGGAGCTTGAAGGCAAAATGTAATGAAAAGCACAAACTAATGTACAAGTGTGTAACACCCACAGCATTTAGCTGTTAATACTTGTGGATTTACGATATTTAATATATAACAACATAATCATTGTCAGATATGAAGAGCAATTATGAATGCTTACTCCTGATTCCCATGTATGTGTTTGAACTAAATTAAATTATTCATATTCCTTGTGTAAGTTACTAAAAGAATTCATAGATTTAATCCACTCATTAGTACACCGTACCATCAGATTGTCATTTGATACAATTTGATACGTGTTCTGTCTTTTTCTTTGTGCAGGACCAAAGGTCATCCTGAAGTCCATATCTGGAGAGTTTCGATCAGGGGAGTTAACTGCTATAATGGGGCCATCAGGAGCAGGAAAATCTTCTCTGATGAATATATTAGCAGGATACAGGTAGATCACTTTTTTACGTAGTATCCAGAAGTTATTTTAAATTGCTTTGTTCTACAGTGATCAGTGTTTTAAAATTTTCAAAATGTCCTTTCTAACCAAGACGAATATGTTGAGGTATAGTTTCTTTACTATTTTTTAAACTGTGTCCATAATTGAATTGCAATTGTTTTGTAAAGAATTGATGAAGACAGCACAGTCAAGAAATTGAATGCTTAGATCATGAATTTCTGTTAAGAGCAACTAAAGAGTGTAAAATTAAAATCATAAAATGATTTTACATCATTGTTTGAAATGATGCTAGTTTTATTGTTCTTCCTAATATAGAACCTTAAATGTGACTGGAAAGATCCATGTCAAGGGTAAAGACCGAGACTTACGGACGTTTCGGAAGATGTCGTGTTACATCATGCAGGACGACCACCTGCTTCCTCATCTAACGGTTGAGGAGTCCATGATGTGCTCAGCCAATCTAAAACTCACCGAGAAAATGTCCACCAAAGAGAAAGAAGACAGGGTAAGTTGGGATTCTTAAATTCAGAGTTTGTTCATTGTTTTGGTAGCTTTCTAAGAGAAATATTTTAAACCAACTGTAGATATTTAATTTCCATCAGTTTTTTGTTTAATTTGAGAGTAATATATTTTTATTTTAAATTCAAAATTAATGAAATTTCAAAGCATATACACTTAATTTTCAATATTAAAGATATTTCTGATTTTGTACAGTGTTTCGACTTAAGGTAGGATTCTTCTCTGGTTTCTGACTAGATGAAACACTCAAAGTATATTTGCTTATATGTCTTATATATTGAGGTGTAAGATCATAGTTTTCTTTCCTCATCACAATTGTACAACTTTAAATAGAAATGGTAAACTGCGTTTGAAAACTAGCAGGGACTATATTTTTGGCGGAATGATGGTGTATGAAAATATCTTCTTTTCTGCCTCTCAAAATTATAATAGAACAATGAATTTAGTTATAATTTTTACACAATCGAAGTCTTGGAGAAATTTTCAAATGTAAGTTAGATTAATAATGAGGGACTAAACTTTCAAAATATATCAAATAAATATGATTTTTCAAACAAACTAGAACTTCATTAGCTTTTAAACGCTTCCTATCAAAGTGCAGATTTGAGCCAAAAATCCATAAAAAGTATTTTTTCTCTCTTAGTAAACGATCAAAACTTTTTGTTTTTGTATCATTTTGTACATTTATAAGACTACTTTATTATATGTGAAAATAAGAAAAAGTTAAATATAGGAAGCATATGAAAATAACTAATATATCCTAAAAAATTAAGAAAAACAGAGAAAATTCGGATTAGCCAATATCCAGTTAAGTTAAATTATTTGTGTAAATTTGGTAATATCATGCTATAGATCCGATATAGTAATATGTTTTTATGCAAAAAGAACAATCATTAAACTTTTGAAATAGAAGTAGGTATCACATGATTGGCAACAGTTATTTTTTATTCTTAATGTCAAGGAAAAAGATAATGACCTTGACCTGACCTTGCCTCTAATATAAAACGGTCAAATTTAATCTTACTGATTCTATCACTTACTGGTATTGTCTTCTTGATTCTGTGAAAATTTCATTAATTTTTAAATATTACAAATAGTAATATTGATAATCCTGTAGACTTAAACATGGTTTGTTTTAAATTTTGAAGGTGGATGAAATCTTGGAAACTCTGGGACTCCTGGAAACCAAGAAGACGAGAACCAGTAATTTATCTGGGGGCCAGAGGAAGCGACTGTCCATCGCCCTGGAGCTGGTTAACAACCCTCCCCTCATGTTCTTTGATGAGCCCACAAGGTAAGGATTATGTATCTAGCCAATAACAAAGGCCTAGTGACATGATGGTGTGATAGATTGATGAGTAAACATACTTTCTGTCCAATTTATTGAAAGGAATGTTAGTTTACCCAAAGAAGTGACATCTTCTTGAGTTAACACAATGCTTTGTTTGATTTTATCTCATATATGAATTGATCAGTTGATGTGATAGGAAGAGTGCATTACATAACAGTAAGAGCTATTTTACATGAACCTAATCAACTTAAAACCAAAGAGTTAGCAACATCAGTTGACTTGCTGAAATTTTAGTGTACTACGGTAGTTGTATTCACTGACAGCAAGGAAACATAGATATATTTTTCAGCTTAAGAAATCCATAATGCTCTATCCATTCAATATCAGACATTTTTCAGCTCTTTCCCCCCCGCTATAATAGGGAAATGGTACCACTTTTAATTTAAATTATTTTAAGGCTTATTGAACTAAGTTTAAATGGCTTTTCACACTACATGATACATATTTCATATTGTGTTGCATTGGACCCAAACCTTTATGTGTAATCTACCAGTTTACAACTCCACATAATACAAGAGACAATACTTTGTCAGCAATATTCTTTCTTGTCAGCATTCTTTGATATTTTGAAATATCATCTTGTTTTCTGAGA